AGGAGAGAGAGAGAGAGAGAGAGAGAGAGAGAGAGAGAGAGAGAGAGAGAGAGAGAGAGAGAGAGTTTTCTTTTTCTCCTCCCCCTCCATATCCGTCTCCTTTCTTCCTCGGACTTCACAGACACACACACACACAGAGGGGGAGAGAGAGAGAGAGAGAGAGAGAAACCTGGCAACTATTTCAAAAAGACCTTTCTCGGTGTTGCTGGGACCATCTTGTCATAGTTCTTCTTTTCCCCTCTTTTTTTTTTTCATTTTTTTTTTTCAATGTTGTTTTAACAAAAGAATCACTTTCATTATAGGATGGAAACTGTTTTTTTTTCCCCTTTTTGCCACTGGACCAAAATGGCTGGTGGCGCCAGCCAAAAGTAAAGAAAAAAGGTTGCACTGGCGCTTTGGCAAAGTTTGGCTCGCAGGTCTACTCCGCCTTGGCAAAAATAGGCTTGGAGGGAGTGGTGGTTTAAAGAATCGCTTTCATTATAGGCGGGAAGCTGAGTCGAGCGTCCCTTACATCAGTGGAACACACTGGCATGCCTCTCCCTGTTATGACCGGGAGATCCTGAGACAGCGGCATTGATTGCTTCCTCAACGGATGGATGTACCACCTCTCAGCCATGTTTTGATAGCCTGCTCTCCTCTAATTAGCTACTAGACTAAGGTTTGTCATTGGCAGCATACTGTGAAGTGAGTCCTATGTTTGGTTATTGCCAGCCCCCACCACGGCATCGCGTTGTTGGGCCCACATGAATCGGATCTTTCCTGCTTTCAGCCTGCTGCCTGCTCCCAGGCTTTTGTAGGAGAAGGCGTTCCAAGTTTGTTGCGCTCTGTCAGTGCTCTGTTCCACCTCTTGCTTAGCTCTACCCCAGTCGACCCACTACTCTGCCTCCAGTTGCTGGATGAAACCCTCCCAGACTTGGTGGAGGGACTGTTGTTCTTTGCCAATGGCCTCCCGATACCCTTCTCTTCCAGATTACCCACAGGGCCAGTGGCCTTATTCTCTGATGCAGCGTACACTGGTAGGGCTCCGTGTGGCTCGGGGCGGCGAAGCCAGTGAGTATCACGAGTGTCTGGTCCAAGAAGGGCCTGTTGGTCACAGCTTGCCATAAAGCTGCCACTTTATATCCCAGGTCTGAGTGTATCACGTCTTCCACTTGGCCTGTCTCGCATACCACCCTCGTCAACACTGGGGTCAATAGACTATGGTGGACAACAACTCGTCACAGAACTACC